AATTTACCTGGGTATTTTGAGAAGGAGCAAAACACAGAGTATTGTGAATCCAGTGTGCACACAGGTCTCTAAGAGTCTCCAAAAGATAGCTGGGCAGGGGAGGTAGGGTGCACTGGGCTGGTCTCTCTACTCCTCGCTCCAGTCTGAGCTGTTTAGTACAGTTCCTGGCATGAATGATAATCTCATGCCTCGGCTTAGATGTGACACTGTCACAGAGTGTTTTCCTGACCGCCTTATCAGAGTTACCAGCTGCTTTGGTTTAATACTTTGTCCTCTCTGATGCTCATGTTGAAGTTTGAGGGCCCTTGGGGTGGTGTTGGGAGGTGGAGCCTTGAAGAAGTGGCTCAGTCATGGAGAGGGAGTCGGGCCTTTCTAGTGGGAAAGAGTCCTTGTTTTCTCAGAACTGGATCAGTGATGGTGCACATGCGCTGCTGGAAAGCAAAGCTCGCCTGGGTCCTGCCTCTCTAGCTTCTACTGTCCCCCATGAATTGAAGCAGCACAAAGCTGCCACCCAGTCGTTAGATGCTGCCACCCAGTTGTGGAACTTTTAGCCTGAACAATCATGAGTCAAAATAAACCACTTTGTCTTTATAAGTTACTCAGCCTCAGATATTCTGTTAAAGAAACAGGACATGGAGTAATTCCCCGGCCACTTGCCCTACTTCCCTTGCTCGACTTTTTCACAGCTCTTTACACCAGGTCATCTGTTTCTTAATTTATTATCTCCCTCCTCTAGTGGAATGGAGTGTCCATAAAATAAGGGTCTTTGGCCTGTTTGTTTCCACACAAGATGCTTAATAAATGCTTCTCAAATGTGTGACTGATAATTGGTGACTACTACATTTATTATCCAAGTGACCTCCCACCAGGTGGGCCCAGCCCACAGTTCCCAGGGGGCAGGTACCGTTTCTGTCTGGCCGTAGAATTCTCGGATATCCACTCCTGTCTGAGTCTTCCAGTTCTTCAGAGTGTCTGGAAGCAGAGATTCCCCTCCACTGAAGCAGTTCCTTAGGTGTGGGAACTTGTAACTGAAGAGGAGAGAAAAGTGTTCTCCCTCAGCCTGGCAGGAATGAAAGCCTGCCTAGGGCTAGAGTTGGTTCTGGGTGCTCTGATGGTGGGACCTGCTTTCTGGAGACACTCATGTTCAGGTGGTCAGACAATTTTTTTATCTTGAGAAATGCATATATGTGAGGGAGGCCTGGGGATGGGCTTAGTGGCTCCTACCCCACCCCCAACCTCCCCTAACCTCATCACCTGGAAAGGTCCTGCTGAAGCAACATCCGGTAAACAAGGGGAGCACCCACCATGATGTTGATGGGATAGCTGGATAGCACCTGGAGGGGAGAGACAGCTGAGAGGATGTTCACTATTGCAGATGCCCAACTCACTTGTGTGCACAGTGGGTACAACCATGAGCTATGGAGGCGTAGAGGTCCAAGTTGGAATCCTAGCTTGTTTTCTGCATTTATTTAAATCTAAATGAACCTCACAATTCCCACACAACCTCACGACACAGATAACAGAGAATCAAGTACCTGTTGTGATAGCCAAAGGAGGCAGGACTAATTTGGAGTATTACAATTAAATCCTTGCTAGCCATTCTCGCTCTTGTAAGACTTGCCCTCATAAACATGCTCTTCCAGTTATCAAGGGGGTAGTAGAAACTTGTACAGCTTAGCTATGTGATCTGTGAGCCTTCTGGAAAAAGTCCCTCTACCCCTTAGGTATTGGGGATTGCACCCAGGACCTTTGCACTGAGCCACATCCCAGACCTTTTTTTAAATTTTCATTGGTACATCTTTGCAGTATATAATAGCATTCCTGAGGGGAATTGGCAGGCATATATAACCCATCTTATTTTGTTTTGTTTTGGGACTTGTTAAATCTCCCAGGATGGCCCCAACTTGTGATCATTCTGCCTCAGCCTCCCAGAGTGTGGGATTACAAGTTTATGCCACAGGCCTGGCTTGATTTCAGCTTTATAATAGATTATTTCCAGCCAGAATATTTCTGAAAGTTAACAGGCAAAAAAGGGCTCTGGAAAATTAGCAGTATTTATACACATTTCGAAAGAAATGCTACAGGAAATGCCTATGCCTGAATACTTGCCAGACCCTGTTCAGTGTCAGGGAACACTCACAATAACCCACTGACTAGGTTCTCATAGGAGCGCGAATCCTAACATGAAGTGCACGTGTGAAGGATCTAGGTTGCTTGCTCCTTTGAATTATCCTGAAATTTTCCCACCTCGACTCCCCCCATCTTCCATCTCCACCTTCTTTCAGTCCCATGGAACCACTGTCTTCCATGAAGTGCTCCTGGTGCCCCAAAGATGGGGGATCACTGTTGTAAGCTGCTCAGCCTGTGGTGCTTCACTGTAGCAGCCCAAGCTAACACAAGTAGACAGTTTTCAGGCTGCGCATGGGGGATGGCGGCCCTCTCTGCCTTTTACCGCAGGCTCCTAGAGTAAAGCCCTGATGTAAGAATGAGTTCTCTTCTGGGAGAACGTTTGTAAGCTGGACTCATTCATAAGTCAGACAAAGTGAGCCTTCCACACCTTTGACACAGATCCACAGTGTATACCGCTTCCTCGCACTCCCCTCCTCCTCACCATTTCTTTTTGCCTCACTTCTGGGTGCCCTGGCCTAGTGTTGGCCTACTAGAGCACAACACTACTGCACACATTTGCGTGGCCCAGTGAGCACACAAGCAGCACAGCTGTGACAGTGTCGGGTAGACACACGCTGCTTCTGTGATTTCTTCACAGTTATGGATGTTTGTTCCTCAAGGTCCAGTTGCATCTGTGAAGGTTTGCAACTTGAAGGTTCATAAGTCGGGGACTTACTTTATATTCTCTAGCAAATGAAAAAGGAAGCACCACCTAGGCTCACCCAGGAGGAGATGCCATCACCTCCAGTGATTCACCCCTCCCTTTGGGGTGGCTTGTTCCCCTCCACTGATATCTGATATGAGAGGAAAAGCCCATTAAATACATGCTGAGAGAACAACCTTTGTGTGCAGGTGTGCTGATCTCCTTTCTGAGAGCAGAGTGCCACGACATCGCGGGCCGGGCACCTTGCGCGCCAGCCACCCACTCCCACAGTGTATGAATGGAAGCTGGTATAGCAAATTGGATTGTGTAGACTTCAGGCTCACTCTGAACAACTGATTCAAACTGGGTCTTCTCTTACCTTTAAGATGGTCTGTGGGTCAAACTTTGGCAAGAGATGGATAAATACGCATGCTCCCAAAGTCCAAGGCTCCAGAAGGGTGGTCAAAATGTTCACAATCCAGCCTGTGTCTGATATGGTCCAGATGAGGTCAGAGGCTTGCAAGCCTGTCCAAGTGCTGGGACACAGATGGAACATATGAACACACATGGGAATGCATGCCAAGATCTGTGGGAGGGGAAGGGCGTGTGTGTGTGTGTGTGTGTAGCTGCTCATAATCTGCAGCAATGTGTATAGACATAAGCAGGCGTGGGAAGAAAAGGTGTTCTGTCCATGCATTCTCTGCCTAGAGGGACCTCATGTCCAGAAATGTGACCCTAGCAGATAAGACCTAACAGGTCATGTGGCCTCAATCTCTTTACCATTTAAACTTAGTACAGGGTCTGACATGTGGTTCAAAGCATCTAGATGAACTTTTCGTTTATCTGTTTGATTTAGCTTTATCATTTTCTCACAACAGTATTACAATTTCATTTCACATCACAGCAGCTTTAGTTTGAATTCAGGGATATTGGTTGTCTCTGTTACTTTTTACTCATAGCTGGGACAAAACACCTGACACCCAAAATTAAGGAAGGAAAGGTTTATTTAGCTCACAGTTTGTGGAGGTTTAGTCTATACTTGGCTGGCTCCCAGGCAGAGCGGCACATGGCAGAGAGCAGCAGCAAACAGCAAAGAGCAAAGGAAGGGGCAGCAGCTGTGGCTTCCAGCCAGCCTTTCTCTCCTTCTTATATTATAAACAAGTTACCAGAGAGCTGGGGGTGTAGAACTCACACAGTGTCCTCTCTCTCCTCTTGCACAGGATGAGAATGTTTACAAAATAAGAATCCTGGGCCTGCCTAGCCAGAGCGATTGACACTGGGCGTGGTGCAGCACGCCTGTAATCCCAACTCTTGGGAGGCTGTAAACAGGGGGATCACTGTAAATCCAATCTAGTAGTGAGACCCTGGACACCCTGTAGACCCTTCCGTAAAATGAAAAGAAAAAAAAAAAAGAATCCTGGCTGTCTGCTGAGTCACTTAATTAAACTAAACTTCTCAAGTTGATACAATGTACCAACCAGTACAATCCACCTTGTCAACTTGGAAACCAGACATTTCCTTAAACCAGTTTCCAGGTTCATAGACATGCTTGTTAACATTTTACAACTTGAACATTGTATTACATTAGAACCATGACATTTTGCCCCTGGGAACTCCACCCCCACAAAGACTCATGCACATCCCTTTGCACAAAAGGCATTTTAGTCCATTTCTAAGAGTTGCCTAAGTCTTAACAGTTTTAGCAATGCTGAAAAGTCCAAATCTCAAGTCTCCAAGATCTAAGGCAAACTCCTAGCTGTGAGCCCCTGTACAAATGAAAAGTTAAATACTCCCAACACTTAAAGGCACAAGATAAACATGACCATTCCAAAAGGTATACACAGCACAATACAAACTATTGGGACCAAAACAAGTCCAAACTCCAGAAGGGCAAACATTAAGTCCTGTAGTTCCACATGGAACATCTGAAGCAATCTGTAATGAGTTGTGAGTTCCAAAAGCCTTACATGGCTCTACCCCTATGGCATTTCTGCTGGGAGCTCCCATGGCTCTTTTCTGGAGTTGGCATTGTTCCCTTTTTGCAGCTTTTTTCAGACAATACAGGTTTTTTTCTTTTTAAAATTTCTGGGCTTTCTGTTGAGTAGGCTTCTCACTCACAGCTTTACACACTGCCCTCTCAGGGCACACTGCTTGGCTTCCCAGGCCTTCTGAAATCTAGGTGGAAGCTTTTTAATCTCAGAACTCATGTATTCTGAATGCATCTAATGCCAAAGCCATGTGGACAATGACAAGGGGGCTGTCAACTGGAGCAGTAGCCAGGTTTTTTTTCTCTCTTGGCTGTAGGGACTAAGTGCCTGGATTGCTGAGCACTCTGAACATGATTTTAAGGAACAGATTCTTATTCCAGCACCACTCTGGAACCTCGTGTGGCTGCTGTGGCCATTCTGGAACATGGGGCTCTCCAACTTTTTCCTCAAAGCAAAGTTCTTCACCCTTGGGATTTTGAGGCTGCAAAAGGCAAGAAACTGCAACCTCCTGTGATGTCCTCAGGACATCCTTTTTACACTCCTGTTCCTCCTGGACAATAGAGATCTCAGTTCTATCTTTGCAGTCCACAGCCTTTTTGATGCTTTCTTTTTTGCCAAACTCATAACATTTTATTTTATTTTTGTTGGCGGAACTGGGGATTGAACTCAGGCCCTTGCACTCACCAGAGAAGCACTTATTCCATGGAGCCATCTCTCCAGCCCCCAACTCACAACATTTTAAATCATCCTGCTGGGCTCTTTGCTCTTGACTCTCAACATAAATCTGACTAAAAGCCCCCAACAATATCCATGCCACTGCCTCAATATTCAACTGCCTTGAGATTGCTTTTGTCAGATTAACTAGTCTACTGTGCTTAATCTGTCTCAGGCAAAGTCTCTGGACAGGAGCAAAATGCAGACAAACTTTCTGCCAAGCCATAACACCTGGAGTCCAACAGCCAATATAGTCCTTCCCAGAAGAAACCTCCCCAGCCTAGTCTTCATAGGCAGGATTTCTATCAACATTCTGGTCTTCTGAGCTGTGACCAGAGTCTCCCATACAAAAGAGCCAAAGGCATTCCAGCTCTTTGCTAATAAATGACATCTCCAAACCTTTGCTATCTCTTCCTGTAAGCTATTCCTAAAAATTCTTGAACAACAAAGTCAGGTAGTCACAGCAATGACCCCCACTCCCCACAAATTTTGTCTCAGTTACTTTTTACTCATTGCTGGGACAAAATAGCTGACACCCACAATTAAGGAAGGAAAGGTTTATTTAGCTTACAGTTTGTGGAGGTTTAGTCTATAGTGGGCTGGCTCCCAGGAAGAGTGGCACAAGCCAGAGAGCAGCAGTAAACAGAGAAGATCAAAGGAAAGAACAGCAGCTCAGCTTCTAGCCAGCCTCTCTACCCTCCTTAAATTATAAACAAGGTATTGTGGAACTCACACAATGTCCACACCTTCTTCTTGCACAGGATGAGAATGTTTACAAAATAAGAATCCTGGCTCTCTGCTGAGTCACTTAATTAAACTTCTCAAGTTGATACAATGTATCAACCAATGCATTTGTTTATAATATTTCAGAGATAAATCATACTATACTTTTGAACTACTATCTTTTTGGTTTTACTAGGCTGTAAGTTCCTTGAGGATGAAGGTTATTCCTGACCCATTCTTGTGTCTATTATAGAGTCTAGCACTGTACCTTTCTATATTTCATCAGATGAACATTTTTACAGAAGCCTTACCAAGATCAAGTTGGGTTGAGTAGAACTTTGATTCTGTTTTCCCCAAGCATCAAGAACTGCCTGAGCAGTTGTATGGGGTAAAACTTATTTTCTTTCTCTCTGCAGACCAGAATAAGAGGTACAAGGCAGCTGGGTGTGGTGGGTACATACTTGTAACCCCAGCACTATGGGAGGCTGAGGCAGGAAGATCTCAAGTCTGAACCTAGTGTGGGCAACTTTACAAGACTATGTCTCAAAGATAAAAAAAAAAATAAAAAGTGATATGGATGTAGCTTGTTGCCAAGACCTTAGACTCATTTCCCAATACAGATAATAGAAGGTGTATTTAACCTGTCTTCCTGTTTTAAATCAAGAATGAATTAGGCTGAACACAAAGAATTTCCTTGTGATAGGAAGTTATCATAGTATATGTTCTTTCTTGAAAATGAGTAATATTTTAGCTCTGTAGAGAATTAAACACTTTTGTAACAAACCTTGGGGAGTGGAAATCTTAGTTATATTTAAGTCATTTATCTTACCATTCTTCACAAGTAGCAATGTTAATAATTTAAAAATCATTAAATAATTTTTACTAGTTTAATTTTGATACTATGGGCTTAGAAATAAAACATTTAAGTTTTCATAAAGCTTTTTTGAATTAAAATATTTGTCCTGTTCTAATAATAAATTAACATGGCAGAGAGGATCTACTGAAAAATATTATGAAGACCGCGAGTCGTTAATGCACAGAGATCTGGTGCAGTGCTTCATAGGCCGGTAGACGGCGCTGATGTAGCAATGGAATAAAATTCTGAATTACGACATCTGTGATCAAAAATTTCTGCGATATCAGTTTACCCAACTCATCCAATCATTTCTGCTTCAATGAATCTGCCAAGTAATTTGCAACTGACACAAATACCCTCTTGGAACATGGGTAGAATTCAAGCAGATTGCCAGCACCTCAGAAATACAAACTAGAGGTTAGTCTTGGGAACAGGAAGGCAAACTTTCTTGCTAGTCATTCATCCTTCTAGGTACATGACTCAAACATGGAAGAGACTTTGAGACCTGCGTTTCTGAAACAGACACATCACTCTGAAGGTCATGGGGTGGGAGCCGAGAATGTAAGGTAATGGGCCTTTAGTTTCCTTTCCCATGTGTCTTCCCTCAGCACCAGAGGAGAATCAGATCTGAACTCAGGAAAGTCTAGTCCCACAACTCTCTGCAGAGGAAAAGGCCTCGGCTTACCCAGCATCCATCTTGCCTTTGAGGAACAGGCTGGCGTGGGAGTGCTCTGCCATCTTGGGGAGGCCACTGGTTCCACTAGTAAAGTAGATGGCAGCTGCTTCTTGGGTTCCAGACTCCACACAGCGATGCACAGTGGAAGCCTCCCTGGGGGGGACACAGCCTGTTACCTTCTCTGATCTAGCATTTTCACCAGATGTCATTGTAACTCATTTTTCTTCACCTAACCCCAGGCCAACAAGCACAAGTCAGCTGACCCAATTAGAAGAAAGGCTACTGATGGAATGGTTAGGATGATGGGGTTATTTCTATGATTCTTAATTTTAATTTTTTATTAATACACATTTGAAGCACATAAACTCATGGAATTCTAAGTCAGTAAGTTTTGGGTTTGGAAACTCTTTGGTTCTGGCACTTCATTAACTATGTATAAGGGTAATCAAAATATATGGTCAGTGTTTAAATTTTAAAAAAACCTCACTACAGTAAAGACATTGCCATTAATCTTCTTCTAAATACTGTCCCTTGATTCAAGCATTCTCATCCCATCATTCTTGCCACTTTCTGAAGCAGTTCTGGAAGTCCTCCTTCATGAATGTATTTATAGAATATGATAAAAAATATGGTGACTGGCGCTGCCAAGTGCCATCTGAGGGAAAGCCGACTGGCGAAAATGTTACCTCGTGTCCTCATCCACCTCGTTCACCAAGTCTGGTACCATGTGCCTTCTGTCTCATCCCCAAAGTAAAAAATGACATCAAAAGTAAATATTTTAAAACAATTCAGGACATCAAGCTAGCTATGGCAGAACAACTAAAGACCCTGAAGAAAGGAAATTTTCAGATCTGCTTCAGTAATCAGCAAGAGCTATGGGGTGAGAGTATTTTGAGGTTGATTAATGACAGAGTGCTTTTTACTGTAAAAAGTTTTAAAAAGTAAATATTACAGTGTTTTAAAATCATACCTCATTTGTACTATATAACTTTGAGTATCACTTTTCTTATTCATGAAAAGGGACCAATAGAAATTAAGAAAACAAATTAAGAGTTAACTTTCTTTTTTGTTTTAAATCATTTATATAGTTAGGCACAGGGCCTCGCTATACAGCTTGAACTCATAGTGATCCTCCTGTCTCAGCCTTGCTGGTGCTGGGATTACAGGTGTGCCCCACCACACCTGGTTTCAGTGGCTGGCACTGAGTGCCTGGAAGGTTCTGGGTCCAGCACAGTATGCAGTACTGAGGATCGAACTCAGGTCTTTGCTTGCCAGGCAGGATGCTTAGACCATGGGGCTATCTCCGTAGCCCGAAAGTTAACTTTTAAATGAATAGCAGGAACTCAATAAATGTGAAACTACTTCTTGAGTCCTTGGATGGTACCAGGTCCACAGGAGATGGGCAACTGGTATTTTTGGTGCTTGCCTGACACCCTCTTCTGTTCTCTGGAAACATACACACATCTTCACACATCTGTAGCATCCTGATTTTGAGTTCCTGAAGCCGGTTATCTCATTTTTTCTTTGATAGTTATCTTAAGGATCATGCACTAGAAAGACAAGTTTTTTTCCCTCATATTGGGGATTGAACCCAGGGCTTTCTCACTGAGCTGTATCTGCAGTCAGTTTCAAATTTTTTATTTTGAGACAGGGCCTCACTAAGTCACTAAGTTTCCCAGGCTGGGCTCAAACATGCAATCCTTCTGCCTCCCAAAAGCTGGGATTAAATGTGTGCACCATTCTGGCCAGCTGATCTGGTCAGGCTTGTCATAAGCATGTGGAAGGGCCACTGTCATTGGGAACAAAGCCATGGAGTGGGTTGGAGACGGCAGCAAGAGCAAAGGGAGCCTGTGTAGCAACCGTCTCTAGTTTCCCCTCCCGCGCTGTAGATCTCTTGTCTGATCTAAACCACTGTCACAGGGAAGAGCTCTGGGAGGTTCTCTTTGGGCCCCAGGCCTTTCTGTCCCACCGTGGCTTGGGTCTCTGAGCCTGCTCTTCATGTGAGCGTGCAGCCCAGAAGTGGGGGCAGATACAGCCTCACTGGGGCAGTGCCTGCCTGTGTGGGTCAGTGCTGTGCTGTCAGCCCTTTATTAGGAGCTCCTGGGAAGCCCTTGGCATGTTCCTCAGAAAGCCCCTGTAGACGAAGCCCCACAAAACCCTGAAATGTCTCCATAATAAAGTCTTGCATTGCAGCTTTTCTTTCTCCCCTCCCTCTGCTTCCTGGGCAGCCCCAGCCCCTTTAAGTCTCTCCACAGAAGGCTTGGTTGGCTTTCTACCTGTGGGTGAAAACTTAGCCCAGACGCACAGATACTCACTTGAGTAATGTCTTAAAGTCCAGCCACCCATCCCGGGTTCTCTCAGACACAAGTAGCTTGATTCTCAGAGCAGGACAGTCAGCCACCACACTGTCCACTTCAGGGGCCACTTCGTCCCCGGCTACAATGGCCTTGGCCTTAGACACCTGCAGCCTGTAGAGTATGTCTTTGGATTTCATCTGGATAGTTCCAGGCATGAAGACGAGGCCTGGAGAAGCCAAATGGTTTTGAAAGAGCTGGGAAGGAACTGGCCATCCTCCTCAGGAAATGGCCACCCAAAGCGGAAGGGTACCTGCACCACCCTGGAGGGCGTTCTTTGGAAGAGGTGATCCCCTCTCACTGCCTTTGGTTTCCCTCACAAGAGGGGATGCCCAGCTGTGTAGTCAATCACCAACCTGCTCGCACGCAGCCCAGGGTCACCAGCCACCACTCGGGGACTTGGGGCAGCACTACCACCACGCGGTCCCCGCGCTGCAGGCCACAGCACCCGGAGAGGACGTTGGCCGCCCGCCGACTCATTGTACTCAGTTCTCTGAAGTTCCATTTCACTTCGTCCCCTCCACCATTCACCCACCACAGCGCTGGCCCAGGAGGTCTCTTGCCGGCCTGTAGGAGGAGAGGCCAGATGGTTAGTGGATACAGACACAGCAGGAGGATGGCTTGTCAGTGCTCAGGGCTGGTTGGCCTTTTGGTCCTAGGGCTGGGTGTGGTGGTGCAAGCCGGAAATACCAGCCACTCAGGAGATGCAGCAGGAGGATTACAAGATGGAACTTAGCCTAAGACCCTGTCTCAAAATAAAAAAAAAAACCAGCTGTGATGTAGTTCACTGTGAGGTTCAATTCCCAGTAGTAAGAAAAAGAAAGAAAGAAAGAGAGAAAGAAAGAAAGAAAGAAAGAAAGAAAGAAAGAAGAAAAAAAAAAGGATTGAAATTCTTCAAGAAGTCTTTCTTTATATGGGTTATATCTATTGATACTTATCAGAAAATAAAACTGAGATACTTATTTAAAATAAGTATCTTTAAAAATAATATTAATACACCTATTATATATTACCATGAATAGGATTTAAAAAAATAAAATTTGCTCCACAAAGAATAGCTATCATCAAGATATCAAATAATAACAGACGCTGGCAAGGATATGAGGAAAGGGACTCCTCTCCACCATCAGTGGTAATGGAAGCCTATGCAACCCCTGTGGGCAGCAGTGTGGAGGTTCTTCAAAAGACAAAAAATAGAGATTCTCTTTGATCCAGCCACTTCCCTTCTAGGTATTTCCCCAAAAGAGATAAAGAAATTGTATTACAGGGTAATATGCATACTCATGTTTCTTTTTTTAAATGTATTTGGTTACTTCAGGGTCTTACTACACAGCTTGGACTCATGATCCTCCTGCTTTCAGCCTCCCCAGGGCTGGGATTACAGGTGTGTCCACCACACCCTGACTCTGTGGCTGGCTCAGCCTGCCCTGGGGGTGGGGCTGGCTCTGCATATGGTGCCAGGGATTGAACCTCGGTCCCTGCACTTGCCTAAACTTGTCTAAGCAGGTGCTTTAGTCCACTGAGCTATCTCACCAGCCCATCATGTTTCTAACAGCACAATTTATAATAGCCAAATCTTGAAAATGTCCTACACACCCATCAATAGGTGAATGGATAAAGACAATGTGGTATTTCTACACAGTGGAGTACTACTACTTTGCCATAAAGAAAGATGAATGTGAAGCATTTGTAAGTAAATGGATGCAACTTGAGACCATACTATCAAGTGAAACAAGCAAGTCATATACATTTAAAAATCTCATGCTTTCTGTTATACAAGAAACTCAAAAAATAACATAAATGGAGAGACCCAGTCCTAGCCCAGGTCCGGTGAGTGTGTGGAGAGCTTCCTGCTACCCTGCGCCGGTGGGACCAGTCCCAGCCCAGGCGTAGCGTGGGCCGGACCCTCTCCCGCCCCCTCGGGCCGCCCCCCACCCCTCCCGCCGAGCAGGAATTTCTGCCGACTTCCGGGAACCCCCAGACCCAGCCCTAGCCCAGGTCTGGTGAGTGTGTGGAGAGCTTC